GGCCACAGTCCATGCATGGATATTTTATTAGCATGATAGTTAGTATATCCTTTTTAACTAAGTAAATTTCTAAAGTTATAGAAGGTCACCAGTATATAACAGAATCATCATATTTAATGTTTACATAGCTCTTTATATCTTCAAAACACTGTACAGACATTAACTCATCCGTTGCTCATCAGATTTCAAATTAATGATTACATAACACAACCTCTTTCCTGTGCCACAAATTCATAATGTTTTATAGTGTACCTAGTAATGTGCAAATCCTTTTTATACAATACCTCGAGCACAAACTGGATTTCCTCATTAGTTATATAACTTTGTATTGAAAACTGAACTGGAACACCAGGAAACCTTCTGCTGGCAGTATGTCACTTTTATCCAGCTTAGACTCAATCTGACAGGGGCCAACACATTACCAGGCCTTGCGTCTATCTCTCTTAGCACCAGGCGGGCACGTTTTGAAGGAGATTTGTAACATTCTAAGTCCATCTTAATTCTTATGTTATTTTCTATGCAGCAGTTTTTAGCAGAAAGCACCAGTAGCAGTCATATTTTGGAATGTAAACATTTAGTACAGTAGTAAATGAATGGTCCAGAACTGCTGTCAGACAGAATCTTACTATTTGCAATTTCAGGACCCAGTCCTGTATTCTGATCCATGCAAACAGAACATTAGGTTCACAGGGCCACCGGTAATTAAAGACACAATGGGATCTAATCCACGATCCCAACAATTGTGTCTCTGACCTGCCATGCTTAACATACAGGGCAGATGGAATGATTGTGGGACTGGGGCCCAGATCCCAATTGCACCCTATTGCTGTTGCAGGGGGATCCCATACCAGCAAGTAGCAAGCGAGTGCCTGATGTGCCCAGCTCAGAGTGCCAGTCCATTACTTGTTAAGTGCTCCCAGCCTTGGGGGTGCACTAAGGCTGGGAGCACTGGTCAGCCTGGCCACGCATTCAATTTACATGTGGCCAGGCCAGGCTGCACCATGTGAACCAGTCACAAAGTTATTACACAAAATGTGTGCAACAGCTGTGGATTATTCTCTGTATATTGTGTCATCAATTGCATGAATATGTGGCCAGGTTACTACTTAAGTAGTAAGACATAACTAAGTGTAATGTCTGCCAAGGACCCAGGGAGCCCCACTCAAGTCAAAGAGTATTCATAAGACACAATATGACCTCCAGCAGATCCAATCCCAAGATGGGGGAACCCAGTCTTGCATTTTTCTTTCAAACATAACACGTTGGTTTTAACACTGAGTATTTCAGTTATTTGATTTGTCCAGTAAGACTTTTGTTAAAATGAGGACTGCAATAGCAGTCAAGCAAACATGTCAAAAGATCAGATCATTCTTTTAAAAATGTATTTAAAGGATAAAAATGCATGGTACTCATACTCAATACTAGTTCCAACTTATGGGTCTCATCTATCTGAACAAAATTTCCCCATCTATTGAATCTATATAAAACCACTGTTTTAACTGGTAATGCACAGGTATAAAAAAAAGAAAGTAAAATTTAGCTTGTTTCCAATCTGTGCATGGCTATCAAGTAGGTATTGGCTTCCTTGGCAATTAGGCAAAAAACTTTCAAGTATGGAGTTGAAATTTCTCATCAGGGTTTAACTACATATATCTCAACAGTTAAACATGGTGCCACATTATTGAGCGTTTTATAGGGTGAAAGTTATGAACGATTTTAAACTACAAGTCAAATAGTCCCTAGAAGAGATTTTACTATTCGTATTCAAAATAGAAAATCCTACTTTGAAAAAATAAAAGATTCTAAAGCAACCTGAACTGGAACAAATCAATATTGAACTTCCACCCCCATCCTTAGCTTCCTCTGTTGTGCCAATAAATTACAACATACGAACACGCTGATCAGAGACACCTATATGGGCCTCCAAGTATCAGTTAGCAATAAAATTATTTTTCTCTATTTCTGAGTAAAACAGTAATCTAAGGCAAACTGGGTTTGCACACCTGAAATCTAACGTTGACTAAATCATTTTGAACTATCTTCTTTCTGTTCCATGCTAAACACATTTTCTAAGAAACTAATACCTTGTATGCCAAATGTCAGCCTAAACTGATGCGATTTAGTTATAAAATGCAGGGGGAAAAGGTTTACAATGGAAATACTGACAGAACCATACCTATTAAAAGTTCTAGTGTCCCAACCATGCTTCCAGAGTGAACTTTGCAAGTTATTCATCCTTAAAAACATGATTTATAATGACAAAAGCTTAGTTATAGCTTGGCTAGCAATGCTACTGTGTTCATTCAGATAGAGGAAAGAGCCAGAAAATTGTGTTTTTTGGCATTCTAAGTTGGATTCTATTTTTTTAATCTCCATAACATGGAATTACTGTACATCCCTTACTGTTGTCTCTGTAGAGTGCTGCTCTCAAGTTGTCACTGCCACTCTCAGCTGAAGCAGCACCACTTGGTTGGTTTCTTGTCCATCAGGAGGAGGAAGTGCCACTTTCAAAAGAGCCAGCATGATGAGGTATGATGTTAACAGACAAAGTAGGGAAAACAGAGGCAGAGCCTCTTACTAAGTTGCCATGGTGTTTCCACAAACAAATTAAATCCACTTAGCTGCATCACTTTTAAATATTTAGGCAGAGACAGGGAATAGAAAAATCTTCTGGCAGTGAGAATACTGCAACAGCCAGACAAGGGGAGGGATTTATCTACATCCATTTTTACTCACCATCTCGTCATTATTCTTGAACCTCATTTTGAAGTTTAAATACTTCCCAAATACATAGCATAAGTCTCCCTCTTATTACGTGAATCTATATTTTATGCATATGGTATTGTACCTAGTGAAACAGCTCAATACGCAGATTTTTAATGCTCAGTGGGCATCTCTACACAAGACCCTTAATTTTGCATAATTTACTGCAAAGTAAGCATATGCACCTTCACATGCACATGCTTACTTCCCAGTAAACCTCCCTAATCACAAGTAAATTTGGTACCTGCAAATGCAACTAGCAAATTTACTTGGGATAAGTAACGGTGCCATAGCGCTTGTGTAGGCGCCTGACCAGAAGCAAAATCTGCTCCCTGCCCCATGACGAAGCTCAGGCTGGGATATAAGGATCTCCCAGCCCGAACTTTGTGACCACAGAGCTCAGGCTGAGAGATAATGGTCTCCCAGAAGCGGCCCTGCAGTTGCGGAGCTAGCACTGGGAGCTCCCTGCTGGTAAGAGCTGGGAAGCTTGATCCCCAGCCCCGACCTGGTGTGCCCAGGTGGGGACAATGTCCTCCTGCCCCAGAAGCAGGGAGCTTCCAAACCCTGCTCCCTGACTGCAGAGTGGGGGCTTGGAGTGGGGGTTGGGATCAAGCTACCCAGCCCCTACTCCGTGATCAAAATTGCAATCACAGAGCAGGGGCGGGAGCTCCCTGCATGGGAACAGTTACCTGACCAGACTGGAGCTGGCTGGGACCTGCCCCTGACCGGGACAGATCCCAGCCAGTCCCAGGCTATGTGGGGAAGCACATGCAGCCTGGAGGTGGCTGGGGACTGTCCTGTTTCAGGCAGTCCCCAGCCAGCTCTGGGTTGCAGATGACTTCCCCACACAGCCTGTGGCTGGCTGGAAACTATCCCAGTCAGGGGCAGGTCCCAGCCCCATGTCGCAATGGGGTGATAGAGACATTGGGCTTGGAAAGAGCTGCTGGGGTGGGGTAGGTCCCAGCCCCCTGCTGCAATCTGCCAGTGGGGCAGCTAGCCATGAGCTAGCTGCTAGCTGCCCCACCAGCATATTGTGACAGGGGGCTGGGACCTGCCCTTCCCTTCCTCTGCAGCTCTTTCCAAGCCCCATGCCCCTGATCACAGAGCCAGGGCCAGGAGCTCCCTGCTGCCAGGGCATGGGGGCATTGTCCCCACCCCAGCAGAAGGCAGCCCCCTGGGGCCAAGAGACAGCTGTCTCCTGGCCCGCCTGGAGCAGCAGGGACCCACTGCAGGGCTGCAGAAAACTGGGTGCAAATCTGCTCCCTAATCTCTGCATGTGTCGATGCCTGCCCAAAAGGATTTACACCAGATTAGTTTACACCAGTGTAAACTTAGTCTGGAGTAAATGCATATGTAGACACGCCCAGTTTTACTCACTTTGTATGTATTCTATAAAGGGTATCAAATTGTACAGTCTGTACTCTGGTAACACTGCCTGTATAATCAGC